AGAGAGAGAGGTAGGGAGGGAGGAAGAGAGAGAGAAATACCGATTACCTACCTCCTGCACCCCCACCAGGGATTGAGCCCGCAACTTGGGCATGTGCCCTGACTGGGAATCAACTGGCACCCTTTTGGTGCACTGGAGGACACCCAACCAATTGTGCCACACCGGTCCGGGCACATTCTTCTTCCTGTGTTCCCTTCCCAGTGACCCCCTGAGACCTGGCGGTTTCTGTAGGTTCGAGTCTGCTCCCCACAGATCATCCCTGCTCTAAGCTGGAGACCCAGAAGTGAGTGAGAGTTACTCTCTGCTCTCAAGACGCTCACCAGGTAGTAAGTGCTACAGCAAAAGTGAACCACACTCAGAGGTTGTGGAGGTGGGAACGGCCTCCTTCAGGAGGCCTGGGAAGCTTCCTGAAAGAGCCATTGCCTTCAAACCAGCTTCTGAAGGTTGTCAAGGGCAGAGTTCTTCAACGTTAGCACTATTCTCATGTTGGACCAGATGATTCTTTAGTGAGGGAGGCTGTCCTGTAGATGTCTGACAGCATCCCTAACCTCTACCCCCAGGATGCCAGAACTCCCTCCCCACACCCACAGCCCAAAGTCATGTCACAATAAAAACTGTATCCAGACATCGGCAAATCTCCCCTCGAGGGCCACACTGCCCTTGATTGAAAACCTCTGGGTAAGAGCTTGCCAGGCAAAGGAAGGGGAGAAAAGCATTCTAGTTAAGGAGTAACATGTGCAAAGGCATACAAGTGTGCTCCTCCATGGCAGAGTTTAGGGAAATGACTCCAGATGACCAGAGTATGGTATGGTGGGAGGGAGAGCAGAGAGAAAGAAGTGCTGAGAGTAGAGGCTCAGGAAAAGGCTATTAAACCCAGGATGTTCTCAGGAACCGAGTGAAAGAAACCAGGCCAGAAAGCCTCACTAAGTTGGATTAGCATATTTGCTACAAAGTGACATAGGTGTACAGAAGAAAACTCACATCTGACTAATTAGCAAGCCTGCCACTCTGGATGTGAATGACCTTCAGAGGTCCCCACAGGTGGCCACATGCCACCACCAGACCTCCTTGAGAATGGCTTCATAAGAATTCTCCACGGAGGCAAATCTTCCTCTAAAGATGTGTGGTTTTTTAGAAATAGTCAAATAGCTGTGCAATAGTAATGGATCAAGAATGAGGATCTTGCCCGATTGGCATGGCTCAGTGGTTGAATGTCGACCTATGAACCAGGAGGTCACAGTTCGATTCCCAGTCCAGGCTGTGGGCTCAATCCCGAGTGGGGGACATGCAGGAGGCAGCCGATCAATGACTCTCTCTAATCATTTGTTTCTATCTCTCTCTTCCTCTCTGAAATCAATAAAAATATATTTTAAAAAAAAAGAATAACAAGCTTATGTGTTGTGTGGCCATTAAAAACTGCCATTTAATTAGCATACGGCCTCCCTTATTGGGTATGCAGAAAAGGGACACTACATCTATGAATAGATAAACTCTATTTGTTAAAATAAATCATACCTATACCTCAGGAACAGTTTTCTGAAGTATTTCCTGTTTCCTCACATTTAATCTGCAAGGAAGATAAATGTGCCTGGACCTCTCCTAACCTTGGGTTTTAGCTTCTCCCCACAGACCACTCTAGTGTGGTTTCCAATTCAATTCCCTCCACATCCCTCCTCCAGTGACAGCTCCAAATGGGGCAGTTTAATTAGAGGTAATACTTGATGATGGGCCAACAAGTGCTCCTCTATTAATGAGGTTCACTAATTTCCTTAGTGGTGCCATTACCTCTGCAAAGCTGACTCCTTGCCAGGAAGTCGACTCAAAGGGGCAAGCTGGAGAAATGTGACCAAGCAGATGTTCTGAAAATCCCAAATTATTCCCTCGCTGGTCTCCCTGCTTCAGGTTTCCACTCATCAGAACACCTGTGTCTCTGACCATCCCTGCCTGAGACACTTGAAATTTGGTACTCATTCACACATCCCTTCAGTCAGCACCTATCATGTACCATGAACTGTTAAGACACTGTAGACAAAGTTCACAGTGCAGTGGAGCAGACAGGGAAAATCTATAATAAAAGCGTAATATGCTAATTAGACTGGATGTCCTTCCGGACGACCTTCCGGATGAAACAGGGGCTGCGAGGGAAGCTTGGGTCTCGGGTGCCGGAGGGAAGCTGGTGTCGGCAGCTGGGGGAAGGAAGGCCTACTCTTGCACAAATTTCGTGCATCGGGCCTCTAGTATTAGATAATTACAATACAGTACACTATGTACTATGAAAGAAGTATGCATAATGGGCATAAGAATCACAGAGGAGGAATAGTTAATTTGTATGGATACACACAAGAAGGGGGCATGAGTTGAGTCTTACAGGTAAGAATATAGTTAAATGAAGAAAGTAGGAAAGAGCATTCCAGATAGAGTGCACAGCATGTGCAAAGGTGTAAAATCTTGATGCCAAAAAGCTGCAAGTGGTTAAAGTGTAAATTTGGGCATGGGGAGTGATAGGCAGTAGAGCAAGAGACAAGGCTAGAAAGATTAGCCGGTGGCCAAATCACAGAGGGCCTTGGGTATCATGATAAATGGTTTAAGCTACTGGGAGACAGTGAAGGATTTGGTATGAGAGGGACATAAGACGTGCACTTTAGAAAGATCACTCTAGCAGCTGCGTGGAAAATGGGTTGGAAACGGAGAAAAGCATGCATGGGATACAAAGGCTCTGGCAATAGAATATGAGCTTTGTGAGGGCAGAGACTCTGTGCGCTTCATTACCTCCTTACGTTGTCACATTTAGGCCCCTGCAGGCACTCAATAGATACAGCTGAATTAACAGTCTTGGAAAGAAGTGGTTGAAAACAAAACAAACAGCCCTAGCTGGGTTGGCTCAGTGGATATACCATCAGCCTATGGACTGAAGGGTCCTGGGTTCAATTCCAGTCAAGGGCACATGCCCAGGTTTCAGGCTTGATCTCCAGTGGGGGGTGTGCAGGAGGCAACCAATCAATGATTCTCTCTCATCATTGATGTTTCTATCTCTCTCTCCCTCTCCCTTCCTCTCTGAAATCAATAAAAAATATATTTAAAAAACAAACAAAAAAGCTGGGCCCCTCAAGCTGCCCATTAAAACTCTAATGAAATTGAGGATGTGCCTAAGCCTACAAAATTGGACCATGAAGGACGGAAGTGAGGATACACATGGGGGTGTAGAGGGGTGCTGATCATGTGAGCTGGTGGTAAGGCTAAGAGTAGAAAGATAAAAAACAGACTAAAGCTTTCTGGCTAACAAATGACCAACCTCGGTTCCAGGTGGTGGATATCCTGGAGTTTTTGGCGCAGATCCGCCTGGCCAGAGCAGGATGCTTTAAAATCTGGGATTTACACAGCTGTATCAGGCTGTCCACAATGACTGGGCTTGGAAAAAAGAAGAAACATTTGTAGAGATAAAACAACATGTTGACCCCAAAATCCATCACCTGGAAATCTTACTGACTGGGGGAAACTTACCAATAGGTCTTTCTCTTGGGGATGTCTTCAGTGGAGTGCCAGAGACGGGCATGAGAGATCACGTTCAGAACGCGTTCATCTTGGTTCTCTATGTGGTTCCGTGGGTCCTCAACAAGGCTAAGCACTTTGTCGGGAAGACCTTCAATTAACTTGGTCTTGGTGAGCCAGAGGGCCTGCTTTACACCTTTGGGATAGTCAGTCACCGAAAAAAAAAAAAAAAAAGACAATTCAGACTGAGATACTTAAGCCCATCTTGCGGCAAAGGCTGGAGCGAGAAAGAGAGAAAGAGAGAGAGAGACAGAGCCATCTGAGGGGTCAGAACTAACAATAAGGAGCAGAAGCTAGAACAGCCAGATTTCAACTCCCCTTCAGGAATGACTGTCTACCGATGGGTGGTTAACTGAGACCGTGCATGCCAGCCCCAGAGCCATTAAAAAGGGGCTGAGAAGGCTGAGCCATAAGGGTCTGTCTGCTGCACTCAGACCGGCCCTGGGGGATCAGGTCAATGGATGCCCACCTTTCCAAACCCAGATCTCTCCTACTGACCCACCCCCATTCCTGACAGGAAAAGCCCATATCTACCAAAGGGACCTCATGCATTAGGATTAAACCCATGCAAACGTGTAGAAACGGAATTTCTGGATTTTGCAGTGGAGCATTAAAAACCCTGGAGCGGGAGTGGAGTTTGAGTCCCCACAATGCCACTGCTCCTTAAACTGGAAAGCGTTCTGGAAAGTCTGTAACAAAACTCCGGAGGATCGAGAGCTAGAGAACCAGATGGGGGTTGGGAAGCGATCGGGGACTTTACAACCCACTGAATCCAAACGCCTCTCGGAAAACAGGAGTCACTCCTGGCCCCATTTCGCAGACGAAGAAACCGAGACCCTGCAATTTCAATGTCTTGCCCGGCGCTACCGAGGGCAGGGGTCAGCGCTGGGAAGAGGAACGAGGTCCCCTCCCGCCCGGCCTGGGGCCTCACCCTCCAGGAGGCGGCAGCGCTGGTGGAAGGTGTGGCAGGTCCGGTCCTTGTACAGCGGATGCTCGTGCACGGGGGGCGGCGGGCTGAACCTTGGATGCGTCCAGCCGCGATCCCAGGGCGGGAAGACCGGCCGTGCCAGCCAGGGCACGAAGTGCATCTTCCCCGCGTAGGTGATGGGCTCCAGTCCAGGGATTTCGTACACCCTGTCCAGGGGAGGAGGCTCGGGCTTCCGCGTGGAGCGGACGCCCCACTCGTACGCCCCGCGTTTCGGGGCCCCACAGCCCCCAAGGCCGAGCTGTCCGGGGCGAGCCAGCGCCAGCCTGGCGGGCCCCGACGCCAACGCCATGCCTGCCGACTTGCTCTCCTCAAGACCTCCACCAGGACGCCGCCATCTTCCCGTTCGCAAGGCCTGCTGGGAACGAAAGGGGCTGGGCGCCGAGCCTCGTCCTGTGAGTGGCAGCCACTCGAACCAATCAAGGCCAGGCATCCTTGTCTTGCCCCACCCTCGGGGGCGGGAACAGGAAGGATCCTCCGGTGAAGGGAAGCCCAGCTGTAGGTGAGTGGTCGGGTCGGGGCCGGGACGGGACCAGAACACCTGGACTTCTAACCCGAACTCGGAGGAACCTGGGCCGCTAACCAGCGGCTGGAGCTTGGCAAGGACTTCCCTCTGAGCCCAGGGCCCTTTGCTGTAAAGACAGAATAGAAACGCCTGGCCAGCGCACCCGCGCAGCGCCCTGCACGTAGTGGGTGCGCTGAGTGCCCTTCCCTCTCCCCCACTTCTCGCGGCTGCGGGCCCGTTACCGCGTCCCTCTCCCACGCCTGACAGCCGCCCTGTCCACACACCAGCGCCGCGGCTCGTGGTGCAGGCCTCTTCCCAGCGCCCAGAGGGACTGACTTTCCTCCCTTTTCCTCGGGATTTCCCTTTCCGCCTCCTGGAAGCAGGGCCAGAGCGATGGAGGCGGCCTTTGCTCCTGGAGCAACACCTCGTTATCACATGCCCACTGTGATCGTTTAGGGGGGAAACAGCCAGGAAGCAAACAAGCCGTTGGAGAAAACACACACACACACACACACACCCTGTCCCTTTCCCCAGTTTTTTCCTCTTCAGCATTTAACACAAACATGCTGTATGTTTTCCGTTCTGATCTTATTTAATGACTATCTCCCACTAGAATGTGAACTCCAGGGATTTCTGTTTCTTCTCTGATATACCCCTCCCCCACTCCCACCCCCACACACAGAACAGTGCCTGACACATAGTAAATACATGTTTAACGAATGAATACTAGTAGAAGCAAATAGTGTGCATGATGGAGAATGAGAAGGGGCGGTTCAGGGAGGGTCTGGAGGGGAGGTGACCTTTAAGCAAGGCCTGAAGGGTGAGGAGCGTCATCCAGGTAGAGGCAGTGGGTATCAGGGCATGGCTGAAAGGTGGTGCCTCTGAGACTGAAAAGGTAGAGACGGAAAGGAGGCGTGAACCGGGTCTTTAAAATTCGTGACTGACATGGCCAACTTCTCTACCAATTTCCAAAATACCAGAGAAAGTGGGATTACTAAAACATGAAAGTAGGTAAATTGAGGCAAAGACTTGATAGGATTACCCTCACAATGTATAGCTGGCTTACATAAATGGGAG